TCTGCCTTTTTCAATTAAATTGTTTCTTTTGCAGCATCCATCTCCTTTCTGCCTATTCGGGTATTTTTCCCCCCACTCCTTGTAATTAAATTGCATTGTTGAGGAGATCTGAACGAGGGTGTCTTGTATTATACAACTTGTAAAGAACACTCACTGGCATAACTATGGAAACAATAAGAATCATACAAAGAAATCATGTTCCATTCGTAAAAAATTGAGAAAAAAGTAAAAAGAAATTGTTGTAATTACCAAAATTGATGTTTTACAATTTTGAAAATTTGAAATAGAGACGTTTGTAATTTATAATGTATGGCAAAATTCTCATTAAAGACACGTTTTGACTTATGATGAAAGACGTCATTAGCAAACCATGTTTAAAAGGCGATTAAAAACAAATTAAAAAAAAAACAGCATTACTCAATCACTGTCTCACTTTTCTTCCCCATCACTTTCTTTCGCGTAACGTCAGAATATTTAGCACATAAAAATGACACACTTACTTATCCATCGGTTTATAAATCGTAAATCAGTAACCTATCTCGACCTCAGAATTACAAAGTTCTATCTAACATTTTTTGGCCGTGTTGAGTTCCTAAGACCGTCGTGTGATCAGAAATTAATGTTCTTTAATCTGCTCTATCAAAATCGTAAGATTATTTGGAGTCATTATCAAGACATTCAAAGAATTGCAATGTGGGTGGTTGGCGGGTGCTCTGGTGTGGTTTGCTTCTTCTTTCCTGTCAAACATCTATCGTCCCTATCTCCCCTTCTTCTTTTTTATGTTTGTTACTGTCTTGTAACAGCTCTAATCTTCTGGCGCTCATATGACCTTATGCAGTTGCGAGCGCGGTAAAACTTCTACTAAAACTAAACTAAAACTAAAAGATTTGCAATCGAAAAAGCCTGACATGATGTGAAACAAAACCTTTTGACGTCAATTTTCTCAAAACTAGCTGGCACTGAGCAGATAGAACTTTGTAATTTTGAGGTAGCGCTATGCTGCCAGGGCATTCTGTAACCGAGAACAACATAATAACTATTTCGCAGGCTGCTCTAGGTTTTGTTTAAACCGTTGCTAACGTTTGATCTGGAGGAAAACCAACATCCGCTCACTTTTACTAGGCACTGCAAGTGCGAACTCATTTGTCACTTTTTTTTGGTTATGTTTTGTTTTTCCGTTTATGATTTATTACTTTCTTTT